ATGGTTAAAGGAGGGAAGAACAGAGAAAAGAAGGGGTGAGGGGGGCAGGCAGGTAGGAATGGACATAGGTGGTTTGGTAGAGGTTGTAAAAACAGAAAACATTGTGCTTAATAGTTAAATTTCTAAAAAGCAAAGTAACACTGTTCTTTATCAACTATGATTTAGGGAAGAACCAAAATAAGAGAACTGCTGAGAAAAGTGACATTGTGGGTTGTTGTTGTGTGTGTGTGTGGGGGGGGGAGTTATTAAAATCTTTAGCCAAAAAAAGAAAAAATAATAAAGCATTGTAGTACCCCAAGTTTCAAAGCTAACAGGAGACAAAACATCTGCATAGACCCAAACTAGACAGACACACACTGGAACTGTAGCCTTTAAGGTCTTTCCTTCCTCTGTCTCCTGTCCTCTCTCCTTCATTCCTTCCTCTTTTATTTACTACCATTTTTACACAGTTGAAGTTCATGGAAGCATTTGGAGGATCAAGGATCGAAAAGATGAGAAGAATAAGAAATAACTTTCTAATACTATCATATGCTAACAAGTTGTTTTGACATTTTACGCACAGAGTCACACAGTCATACATTGTAATAGGTTGAAAATCACTTTAATAATCATTTACTTTTCCTGCCACCCACTCCACTACCATCATCCTACAGAAACGGTCTTAGTATTAATTTATAAGGTCATACACTTATTTCTACATCAAATAATTAAATGGATGTTGTTTAGTTCAAGAAGGCAGAGCAACCCTAATTTTCTATTTTCTGTTTCCTGACCACACTAAAACTACAGGGAAAAGTTCATAAAAATTAATAGTACTGGAAAAGTAAAAAAAAAAAAAAAAGATTTTTTGATGGTAGTTTGAGAAAATACTAGAAGAATAAAAAGCAGACAGGACATGATCACTGCAGAAGTTATGCAGGATAGGGCCATACAGGGAACTACAGTCATGTATACCAAGGAATCCTGAAAGGGTTTCCATGGTCAGAACTAACTATTACAAAGAGCAAGTTGAGACTGCAGAAACAGGTGGAACTGATTACAGGATCACACTGGACAATGGAGGACAAGTTGCTCTTTCGCTTCTCCCTCATGAATATCAAACAGATGTTGATGACACCTCGAGATACCATCTAAAAATCTCTCCACAACCTCACTCACCTGCCTTAAGTCTCTGGCTCCTCATTCCTTTCCTCACAAATGGATGAAACAACAGAAGCTGCTAACAACCCCTTTACAGAGGAACTGAAGTGCTATGGAGACCAGCACTAAGGAGACCAACAAGTGCTAAGCAATGGGAGACCAGACACAGAGGGGTGCCAGGGAAGGGGAAAGAATCGACTTTTCCTGAAACTTTGGGATGGATGTGATTGAATTTGAAATTTCTTTTCTGTCTCTGACTGAAAACGTCTCATGTGGGCAAGTAAATACATCAGCCTCGCAAACTAACCCACATGGTGCACAGACCCCTCCTGTCCCACCAGCTGCTCCCCGCAGCAGTGTATTTCAGTAGATCTGCCTATTCTGCTCTTAGCTCTGCTTTTACTAAATCCTCTCACCACCACATGTACCTCTGGCCTATACCCAATCTTCTAAATGAAAATTAACTCCTTTAAAAAATAACATTACACAAAAAATTAAGTTACAATATAATATGAAGAAAAATTTTATGTAATCACATATGTAAGTCTATACATGTTTAAAAGATATTGCTTACAAAGGCATAGAGGTCCAAATTGATACACACCCAACTTTGAGAATATGTAAAGTAAAGAAAATACTTTGAGTATTTACTTACACTTCTTAATATAATAATGTCTAATTATTTTACAGCTGTAACTTTAGAACACTAAAAAACCAAGTATTTTAAAATAAATGTGTATAATGGCATAGTACTTTAAGTTGAACAAGTGATTACTTTTATATAATTAATAAAGAATTTTAGACATTGAAAGCAAAATAAGTGAAATTTTGGGGAAATAAGTCAAAAATAAATGTCCGTGTCTCTTTCTACCTACTTTAACATTCACTGGTCCTAAATGGATATGTTTCTGTGCTTGTAGTAAGAAAATGCAAATCTGTCAGATACTGAATTTTTTAAAAAAAATTCAGAGTGAGTAAAAAGATGATAAACCTTCCTTAAAAATCAACTGTCTAGGGCCCTCCCTCGTGGTGCAGCAGGTTAATGCACAGCACTAAGAAGCTAAAGCCACTTCAGCATGAATTCGATCCCCAACCCCAGAGGCGATCCACATGGCTCTGCAGACCTCTCCCAACCAGTCCGCTGCTCCTCTTAGCAGTGGACTTTGTCAGTCTGCCTGTTCTGCTCCCCACTCTGTCTCTGGTGAATCCTTTCACCGCCCCTGTACCTTTGGCCTGTACCCCAGTTCTGTGTGCAAATAAATAAATAAATCTTTAAAAATAAGTCAGCTGTCAAAATGACAGCCTTTATTAACCAGTGTTCTGAGAACAGCCACACTTTTTATCTTCAGCAAAAATTTAGCACCTCAAAGAAAAAATTAAAATTTAGCTTTTTCTTTAATTATACTAGATCAAAATTTTAACTTCCTAAAATGAATATGTAGGCATATGAACACTACAGTGATATAATCAGTACAATTTATCTATGTTTCTTTAAGATACAGTGTAGGGGCTACTGAGCCATATCAACACAACTTGATTGACAATGATTTTTATTCATATTGTGCTGGAAGTGGGAAAATCTCTAGAGAAAGGGTAGCATGTCATGAAGTAATAACAGTATGAAAAATGGTGATTATGTAAGTTACCCTAAATCGACTGTAGTTCCATTACTTAAAATTTAATGTACAAATAAGTCACTTTTTTATTAAAAAAAAGTCAGGTAATTCTTATATGCACTACTGAAGTAACTCTATTTGCTTTCCAGGCATAAGAACAATTGATTTTAAGGGTCCAAAAGTAAATTGCTGAAGTAACATAAATACTTTTGTTTTTAGTAAATGTAAGTAAAAGACTTCAAAGGTTTCACTGAAGCAATTGTGAAATATGAAACAAAATGACCCAACTGGTAGATTCTATCTTATTTTAATAATATGCATAAAACAAGAAGTATACAGAAAGTATGTAAAGACCATGAATTTCCCTTTAATATAGAGACAAATATAAATTCTTGATACTTGTCATTTCATAGTATACAATTTTTAGGAATTTTATTTATGTGTCATAAATCAAATAATTCTAATGCTTGCAAAATAAGCTATTTGACACAAAGATCCTGATGATTAATAAAATTATCACAGGGATATTTAAGAAGGAGATCACTTATTAATCTATTTAAAAATAGGTTTAAAAGTTTGCATTCAGGGTCAAGGATTCATTCATTAGGCAGCTCACATACCTAGTCAAAAATTAAAAGGCTAGGATTAAAGAGACTTAAAACTCACATCCATGTACAAAGATGATGGAGGCTTCTATTATATCACTCAAGAAACACAAGAAACATATATTCATGCAAGAAATGAGTGCAAGGTTCATAATAGCAGAAAGGCTGTAACCAGAATATTCATATTGATATCCTACAGAAGAAACCATATCTATATCCTTGAGAAGATATAGGTATCTTCTATGGTGGTGGGAATGTAAAATTGTATTGTCACTTTGGAAATGTCCAGGCATTCCTTGAAACACTGAATTTGCAACACTTACACATCCCTGAAATCACAGTTCCTAACTTATTCCAGAGAAATAAAAATATAGGTTATCACAAAACCTCTGCAAGGAAATTCAAAGTAGTATGATTTATAATAGCTCCATCCTGGAAACAAACCCAAGACCCTTACAAAGGGAAATAGCTAAGCTGGCTATGGCACATCCATCTCAGAGAAAATTACTTGGGCAATTAAAAAGAGAATATAGCTCTCACACATTTTGTACCACTGGGAAAGTCACTTCCTAACATAGAAAACAGGTGACTAGTGTTTTTAAAACGGACACAATGAATAAAGCTCCAGAAAATGATATTGAAGGGGTATTATAAATTGTGTATTTATATATAATTCCGTAAATGGTATGCATACAGAATTCTGGAAATGGCAGAATTCTGGAAATGGCAGAATTCTGGAAATGGGGTGTAGTTTAGCAGTTGTCAGAAACTAGCTGGGAAAGGGGCAGGAAGGTGGTGATATACTGATAAAAAAGGCAATGGGAGAGACCCATACAATGATATTCCTGAATATTGAGTATATCAGGTTCACCTCTTGTTGTGACACTGCATTAAAGTTTGACAGAAATCTCTCTGTGCTATTTCTTACAAGTGCATGAGAAGTACAATGAAGAAAGAAAATAGCATTGAACGTGCTAGTATTTACATAGGACCAGAGTTTTCACTGCGTGGAAATCTAGCAGTAGCTCAATTTCCTGTGTTTTGGAGCTCATCTGATAAGAATGGCATTTCTCCTTGTGATGGAGACATCCCCCAAACGCCTGAGTTTAGGAGGCAGCAATATGGAAGGAGACCCAAGCTAGGAAAGCAATGATGTAGAGGCGGGAACAACTAAGAGCCAGTAACAACGGGAGGCATCCCAGATGCTACAATGGGCAAATTGTGGGGTGTCTGTGAGACCTATCTATAGAAAATAAAATGCAGGCAGCAAACTGGATGCACCCCGAAATGCACAGCAATAGCAGAACAAGCCTAAATTGTTTGCGAGCGCTAGTGCAGAGCTGGATGCCACTACTCACTGCACTGGGGTTCTGCACCTCCTCTCCGCCAGGAGGAGCCCGGGCTCACACAGGCACCTCAGCAGTTCAGAGGTCACATCCCGGGCCAAAATCTGCCTGGGGTGAGGGGTGATTCGGGGGCCTTGCGCAACCTCACTTCTTGCTGCCCAGGCACACAGCCAGGCAGAAAAGCCCGCACATCCCACCTCCCTCCTTCCCGCCCTCTCTACCTCCTTCAAAACTCTCCTCCCACGGCTGGGAGCAGAGGTGGGTGCTAGACCACAGCCCAGTCCACAGTCACCATGGCCTACCTGCGGGCCTGTGAAGTCCAACAGCTGCTCCACAACAAGTTCGTGGTCATCATGGGGGACTCGATCCAGAGGGCGGTGTACAAAGACCTGGTGCTCCTGCTGCAGAAAGACTGCCTGCTCTCTTCCAGTCAGCTGAAGGCCAAGGGCGAGCTGAGCTTCGAGAGAGATGTGCTGCTGGAGGGCGGCAGGTGGGGCCGCATGCACAACGGCACCCATTACCGCGAGGTCCGCCAGTTCCGCTCCGGCCACCACCAGGTGCGCTTCTACTTCCTCACGCGCGCCTACTCGCCCTACGTGGAGGACGTCCTGGCGGAGCTTTACTGGGGCGAGCACCTCCCGGATGTGGTCATCATGAATTCCTGCCTCTGGGACCTCTCCAGGTACGGCCAGGACTTCCAGAGGCGCTACCGGGAGGACCTGGAGCAGCTGTTCAGCCGCCTGTACCAGGTGCTGCCCGAGTCCTGCCTGCTGGTGTGGAACACCGCCATGCCGGTGGCCGAGGTGGTCTCGGGCGGCTTCCTCCCGGCCGAGCTCCGGCCCCAGACGGCCCGCCTGCGGGAAGACGTGATGGAGGCCAACTTCTACAGCTCGGCGGAGGCCAGCAGGTACGGCTTCGATGTTCTGGATCTGCATTTCCACTTCCGGCACGCAGGGCACCACCGGCAGCGGGACGGCGTGCACTGGGACGAGCGCGCGCACCGCCACCTCTCGCAGCTGCTGCTGGCCCACCTGGCGGACGCGTGGGGTGTGGAGCTCCCGCGGCGCGACCGCGTGGGCAGGTGGATCAGGGAAGGGCCGCCCGGCGGACGGCCAAGCCGGCAAAGGAGGCAGCCCCGGGACAGCAGAGGTGACCCGGCAGAACGTATTTTTCCGCGGCTCCCACCCGCTTCCTCATACCTCTCTCCCCTGCTGGGACCCTCTGTGGCCTTTCCTCAGGCGCGACCTCTGTTCCCAACCTACCATCAACGAGCCTCTGTGCCCTACGGCCCACCTGAACGGCACAGCCGGGTCTCCTACGACCCTGCGCCGCACCGGGGTAGGAATTCTGGCCCAGGTTACGACATTATGGGGCCTGAGCCTCGTCAGAGCCCTACTCGCACATCCTCTTTCCAGCACCACGGTAGAAGGTCCCCTTCCCCAGGCTGGTGTCCCAGTGGGTCCCAAAGACGCCGGAGGAGGCGCAGCAGCAGAGGATCCGAGCATCCCCAGCGGCGAGGATCCAGTAACCGTCTCTAGACTTAGGCTCCTCTGTCCACATGCTTGCATGGAGGTCTGACCCTCAGCAGCCCTGCCATGGCGAGGCCTCCGGGGTCCTCACTTGCAGGAGTGAACGACCTCACAGCCACTTTGCAGTTCTCCACCTGACTTCCTGGTGAGGGGCAAGAACCCAGACACCGCACCATTCTCCTCTTAGCCTTTGTAGAGCAAGGAACTCTAAACAAAGTCCACACGCTCGCACTTAAGCTCACCTGAATATTGTTTAGTGTTCATAGATGTTCTTCCTTTAAAAAAAAAAAAAAAGAAAGAAAAAAAATGCTTAAAAGTTACCAAAACATTTTTATTAGAACTTAAGTGTCACCATGACTGGAACTTAACCCCCAAAGTGTTCACTGTAAGTTGATTCGAATGTTCTTTGACTAAATTTATCTGTAATTCAGTATGACATTTATCCTTAACAAAAGTTCACGGACACAGGTATTTATTTTTCTACTAGAAATATAATTTCTGCTTTTAAACTCATCAAATATGAGACGAGCACTTTTTTTTTAATAGACCAGGTTATTTTTGTTGTTGTTTGTTTGTTTTCCAGCGACATCAAGTTTGCAGCAAAATTGATAGGTAGAACTTTCCCATATCTTCCCTGGCTCCATACCGTACACAGTCTTCCCGCAGTCTTCCCGCAGTCTTCCCGCAGTCTTCCCGCAGTCTTCCCGCAGTCTTCCCGCAGTCTTCCCGCAGTCTTCCCGGCTTTCAACATCCCACACCATAATAGCACAATTGGTACCTTCTGTGAAACTACCTTTGCGCATCATTATCACTCAAAGCTTTTTCATTGGGATTTATTTATGGTGTTCTACAGCTATGGATTTTGACAATGTGTAATGATATGTATTCACTATTATGGTTTCATAATGAATAGTTTATCTAAAATTGCTCTTTGCTTCTCTTCATCACCCCTTCATCCCACTACCACCCATCCATAAGTACCTCAATAGTTTCATCTTTTCTGGAATGTTTATAACTGGAAATATCATTAATAGACTTTTCAAAATGCCTTCTTTCACTTAGTAATACCTATGTAAGGTTTTTCAGTGTCTTTTTTTTAATGATGTGATAGCTCATTTATTTTTTATGGCTGAATAATATTCCATTGTCTGGATGTACCTTTGTTTATTCCCCTACTGAAGGATCGCTTCACTTTCCAAGTTTTGGCAATTATGAATAAAGCTACTTTAAACATTCATGTGAAGGTTTTTGTGTCTATAAATATGTTTTCAACGCCTTTACTTAAATACCAAGGAACATAATTGCTGGATGGTATGTAAAGTATGTTTGGGTTTATAAGAAACTGCCAAATTGTCTTCCAAAGTCACTTACCATTTTACATTTCCATCAGCAGTATTTGAGAGTTCCTGCCACTCCACATCCTCACCAGCATTTGGTGGTGTCAGTTTACTGGATTTTCACCATTCTAATAGGTATGTAGTGACACACTGTTATTGTTTCATTGTGAAATTCCCTAATTACCAGTGCTATTGGGCATCTTTTCATATGCTTGTAATCTGTTTTTATCTTTTCTGGTGCAGAGTCTGTTCATATTTTTTGCCCATTTTTAATCAGTTCATTGTCTTATTGCTGAGTCTTAAAAGCTTCTTTTTGTACTTTATGTTAAGTATTTTGTTAGCTATCTCTTTTAGATACATTTCTCAATTTGTGGTTTTACCTTTGCCTTTTCTAAACAGTATTTTGCAGAACAAGTTTTTAATTCTATTGATTTTTGCCTTTGGTGGTGAAGCTTCAAAAATTCATTAAAATCAATATCAACTAGATTTTCTTCTATGCTATCATCTTGGAATGTTTAAGTCTAGCCCATTTTTAGTTAATTTTTGTGAAGTGTAAAACACTTTATTTAGATTCATCTTTTTAATAGCTTTGTAGTATTCTAGTGTGTGTGTGTGCGCGTGTCTGTAAAATACCTTAATGAAGTTGAGGAACTTCCACTAGATTTCTGGTTTACTGAGAGAGTTAATTATGAGTGGCTATTGTATTTTGTCAAATGTGTTTTTCTGCATCAATTTGCAAGGAGATATGATTTTTCTGTATTATGCAGATGTAATGGAAAATAGTAATTGATTTTTGGGTGTTGAATCAGCTTTACATATCTGGAATAAATCCCACTTGGTCATGATATACAATTCTTTTGTGCATTGTTGGATTTGATTTATTTATATAATGGTGAAGATTATTGTATCTATATTTAGGAGAGATATTGGTCTATAAAATTTTCTTTTCTGGTCTTGGTAATAGAGCAATACTGACCTCACAGAATGAGTTAGGAGTATTCTCTCTTCTATAGTATTTTGGGGGAAATAACTAAGAACTTGTCTAATTCCTACTTAAATATTCAGTAGATTTTCCAGTGAATCCATCTGGACCTTCTGCTTTCTTTTTGGGAGGTTACTACTTATTGAACAATCATTTATTTAAGAAGCATAGTTCAATTCAGATTGTCCATGTATTTTTTGTGTGGGTTTTGGTGTGTCCTCAAAGAATTGGTCCATTTCATCTAGATTATCAAATTTGTAGTAGTGTCCATTTACTTACTCTATTAATCTCCATGAAATCTTCAATGATGTCTCTGCTTCATTTTAATATCAGTAGTTCATGACTTTTTTTCTTTTTTAGTTATCCTGGATATTATGGATATTTTCAAAGAACCAGCTTTTGATTTCAGTGATCATGTTCTGTGGATTTCCTGTTTTCAGTTTCTTTAATTTCTGTTCTTTTACTTACATTGAAATTCCTTTTGCTTTTCTTTGAGGCGAAACAGATTATTGATTTTATCACTTGCTTCTAAAATAAATGCTCTAAGTTTTCCTATAACCACCACTTTCACCGTATTCTACAAATTTTGCTGTTAAATTTTTGTTTAGTTAAAATATTGAATTTCTCTTAAGATTTCTTCTTTGATTCACGTGTTATGTAGATATTAGATATGTGTTTTATCTTTTAAGTATTTGGGGAATTTCCATCTATGTATCAGTGACTGACTTCTAGTTTATTTTCATTGTTGACTGAGAACAGACTGTGATTTTATTTTTTATAATTTTGTTGAGGTTCATAATAAACCTTAGTAAATCTTGGTGATTGTTTCCTATAAGATTGAGAAGAATGTTATATTCTGTTCTTGTTGGATGAACTAATCTCTAGATATCATTATATTCAGTTGTTTCACAGTGACATGAACTTTATGCCCTCCCAGATTTTCTGACTTTCTATCAGCTGTCCATTACTGATAAAAGGTACTGAGATCTCCAACTATAATAGTAGATTTCATCTGTTTCACCTTGAAGCTTCATCAGTTTTTGCCTTATGTATTTATGTATTTTGATGATCTCTTGTTAGATGTGTATAGTAAGTATTATTATAGCTTCTTGGATTTAGAATTGAATCCTTTATTATTATGTGATATCATTCTTTATTCCTAATAATTTTCTTGTTTTGATCTCAGCTTTTTTGATTGTTGTTAGCATGATTTATCTTTCTCCATCTTTTTATATTTATTGATACATCTTTATATTTCAAGTAGGTATCTTATATACAATATATTTGGGATTTTTAAGTCACTGTGAAAATCTGACAGTTAATTGTTTTATTTAGACTATGACATTTAGCATGATTGTGCAGATAAGCAGATCATTACCTACAATGTACTAGTTTCTGTTGTTCTTTGCTCCTGTTTTTGTCTTCCACTCTTTTCGTGTTATTTTCCAATTGAGTTTTTTGTGTGATTCTGTTTTTTTCTCCTTTCTTAGCATATCAGTCATCTTGCTGCATTTTTTTTGGGTTTTGTTTATTACATTTTCTAAGTAATTACTGCAAAATTTTCAATATGCATTCCAAGTTATGAGTCTACTTTCAGATTCCAGGATAGTAGGTCATGGGTTATACAAGTTTTCCCACAAGCTGTAATCATCAAATATATTGTTGCAATCAGTTTTTTGAGCAATTACTATCCAATCAATACTGAATCGAAAAAAAGGTTTCTATTTTCTTTTAACTTACTCCTTCTCTAATGCTATCCTTTCCTTTACAGAAATGAGTTTTTGATATATTTTCCTTGTCTCTGGAGAATTTCTTTTAATATTCTTGCAAAGTAGATCACTAAAAACAAAGTCTCTTAACTTCTGTCCATCTGAGCAATCTTTATGTCTCCTCTTAAGGAGAATTTCAAAGGTTATAGAATCCTACAATGGTATTAGCTTGATTCTGTCTTCCACTCAAATTCTTATCTTTTACTTTATTCTCTTTGCTTTTCACAATTTCTGAGGATCAGTTTGTTATTCTTAGCTCCTCCATAGGTAAAATGTTTCTATGACTCTTTTTACTTTGATTTCTTAAAGTTTAAATATGCTATGCTTCAATATTGATTTTCATTTTTACATACACTATGACTTTTTTCTTTGATTTCTTAAAGTTAAATATGCTATGCTTCAATATTGATCTTTCTCTTTTACATACACTTGATATTTTCTGAACTTCCTGCTTCTGTCATTTGATATCTGACATTAATTTAAGGACATTATCAATCTTTATTGCTTCAAGTATTTCTTTTATTACTTTCTCCCTTTTCACTTCTGGCATTCCATTGCTCCTCTGTTAAAACTTTGTAGTCGTCCCAGATTTCTTGCAAATTATGTTCCATTCTTTGAACCTTCCTCTCTGCTTTTTAGTCATGGCATTTCTGTTCTATCCTCAGGCTTGCTGGTTCTTACCTCAGCCATCTCAGTCTACTAGTGAGCTCTTTCAAGGCATTCTTCATTTGTGTTACAGCATTTTCTTTAACAGTTCTTTTCTAATTTTTCTTGGGATTTTCAGTTCACTGCTTATATTCCCCATTTGCCCTTGCATGCTACATAATTTCTTCCATAGAAATTAACTTAGTGATCATAGTTGTTTTAAATTTCCAGTCAGTTAATTCTGATATCCCTGCCATATCTGAGCCTGGTTCTGGT